TCTCCGCTTTAGGGTTACAGATACAATCGCACAATCACAACTTTGGTGATTTAATCTTTTACAGAAAAGAACGTTAATCTTCTCTGTTCATGGTTCAGCCTTCTTATAGAGAAGAAGATGATCCCGTGCCTTGCACGTGTCTTCCGTTACTGATTAACGGCTTCAACAGTCTGAACTCAGTCAATTACTCTTCTGTCCTTAATGAACCTCTGAACCATTCAGCAACTTTTCTACCTTCAGCTTCTTTCTTCAGCAGGTCGAGCCATTATTCAACAAAATCTCCACCTTGGCTCGCATGCTCCGTGAATTCCTGGTTCTGTTTCCCGCCCTTTTGAGTGAATCATGCTTTTCGAAGCTTCAGCAAGTTCAGAGCCTCCTGAAACTTGCCGACCGTGACAGTTTTGGTGAAGATATATGCTGGATTTAAACTTGTTGCAATCTTCACTACTCTACACACACCTTGGGATATAATGTCCCTTATGAAATGAAGCCTCACATCTATATGCTTAGTTCTTTCATGATAAACGCTGTTCTTGGCCAAACAGATCGCGCTTTGAGAGTCACAATGAATATCAACCGAATCTTGTTGTACACCAAGATCTTCCAACAGACCCTTTAACCAGATAGCCTCTTTGAAAGCCTCAGTCATTGCCATGTATTCTGCTTCTGTTGTAGATAGTGCCACGACATGTTGCAGGTTGGATTTCCAACTTACTGTGTTTCCCCCAACTGTGAATACTAATCCTGTAACTGATCTCCTTTTATCCAGATCTGTTGCGTAATCTGCATCACAATACCCTCTTACTTTCAGATCAGATTCTTTGGTGTATACCAGTCTCAAATCAGTCGTTCCTCTGAGATATTTCATGACCCATTTTACTGCTTCCCAATGTTCCCTGCCTGGACAACCCATGTATCTGCTGATCATACCCACACTAAACGCTAAATCTGGTCTTGACCCGATCATTGCGTACATTAGGCTCCCTACTGCACTTGCATAAGGAGTGCTGTCCATTTCTGGTTCCTGATCTTCTTCTTTGATCGCTTTTAACTTGAAGTGTGCTACAAATGGCGTCTTTACATATTTTGAGTCACTCATATTGAAGCAATTCAGTACTTTTTCCAAGTACCCTTGCTGAGACAGAACAAGTGTTCCTTTAGTTCTGTCCCTCTCAATAACCATACCCAGTATCTTCTGAGCAATTCCTAAGTCTTTCATCTCAAATTCTTGACTCAGTAGTTTCTTCGGTTCCTGGATTTCATTCTTATCACATGAAGCAACCAACATATCATCAACATATAGCAGGAGATGGAACAACGCACCTTTCTCTGATTTTCTGTGATACACACAGGTGTCATGTAGACTCTTACGGAAACCCTTTTGTATCATGAAGTCATCAAATCTCTTATTCCACTGTCTTGGACTATGTTTTAATCCGTATAAGGATTTCTTGAGTTGACAGACTTTGTTCTCATTTCTTCTTTCCTTGAAACCTTCAGGCTGTAGCACGAAAATCTGCTCTTCCAAGTTTCCATGGAGAAAAGCAGTTTTTACATCTAGTTGTTCTAGCTCCATGTCGAATGAGACAACTAGTGAAAGAAGTACCCTTATTGACACGTGTTTGACTACCGGTGCAAATATTTCTTGGTAGTCGACTCCTTCCTTCTGTGCATATCCTTTTGCAACTAATCTCGCCTTATACCTTGGAGGTTCAACTCCTGGAATGCCCGGTTTTCGCTTGAATATCCATTTGCAGCCTATGGCTCTCTTGTTTACTGGTAAGTCTACTAACGTCCATGTTTCATTTTTCCTCAATGATTCCATTTCTTCATCCATAGCCTTACCCCAATGGGAACTATCTCTGCATTTTACAGCTTCCTGAAATGTCCTTGGTTCCTCCAATTCCATATCCTCAGAAGTTGTTAGTGCAAAAGCTACTACATCTTCTTCTCTGTATCTTGCTGGTGGAATAATATTTCTGCGTTGTCTGTCTCTCGCTAGTTGATATCCTTGTAGATCTTGGTCAGCCTCTGGTTCTCTGGAATTCTGAAGTTCCACTTCTGTTAATTCCTCCTCATCACTCGAATTTGTTGGTGCTTCTGGGTTATGAGCTCCACCTTGATTCTGATTCTCTGTCTGACCTTTCCCTTGATCTACTGTTAGTTGAATTATCACCTTTTCTGAATTTTCTAACAGTCTTTTATTTTCATTTGAATCCTGTTGTGTGTTGAGGTCTTTATACACAGTGCTTTCTCTGAAAACTAAGTCTCGACTTATGATGCATTTCTGTTCTTCCAGTAGCCAAACTCTATACCCTTTGACTCCCTTTGGATATCCCAAGAAAATCCCCTTCCTTGCTCGTGGTTTGAGCTTCCCCTGGTTGGAGTGTACATATACAACACAGCCGAACCTCTTCAAGTAGTGATATGATGGTGGTCTGCCAGTCCATATCTCCTCTGGAATTTTAAAATTCAAAGCACTTGAAGGTGAACGGTTGATCAAATGTACAGCAGTGGCTGCAGCTTCAGCCCAGAAGTGTTCCTCAAGTCCTGTTTCTGTCAGAAAACATCTCACTTTGTCCATGATTGTTCTATTCATTCTCTCAGCAACTCCATTTTGCTGTGGAGTATATGAGCATGTTTTGTGCCTCTCTATCCCGTGCTCCTTACAGAATGCTTCAAATGGAGCATTACAGAACTCTAGCCCATTGTCAGTTCTTAGGCACTTTACTTTCCTTCCAAGTTGATTTTCAACCAAGTTCTTCCATCCCACAAAGCTGGAAAATGCTTGGTCTTTTGTTTTTAAGAAGTATATCCATACTTTCCTTGAGTAGTCATCTATCAAGGATAAGATGTACTTTGAGTCTGAGAGAGAGGGAGTCACAGTTGTTGAGCCCCATAGATCAGCGTGCACATATTCTAAAGTGCCCTTTGTTGTATGTTTGGCTTTGGAGAAACTGAGCCTGTGTGATTTGCCCATTACACAGGTTTCACAGAATTCCATGTTCCCAATTCTTGAGTTTTTCAGAAGTCCTCTGTTCTTCATAATTCCCATACCCTTGGAGCTCATATGGCCAAGCCGCTGATGCCATAGTATTGTCTCATTGGTTTCTTCATTGTTGGTCTGAACCTCACCCGTGACAGTTTCCCCTTGTAGCACATATAACCCTTTTTGCAGTTTTCCTGTTAGTACCACCAAAGATCCTTTTATCACCTTGAGTTTTCCACCTTGAGACTTGTAGCTATATCCAAGTGAATCTAAAGCTCCAAGTGAGATTAAATTTCGTTTCAGATCAGGTATGAACCTTACATCACTCAGAGTTCTTACAATCCCATCAGGGGTTTTGATTCTTACTGACCCGATTCCTTTGACTAGGCATGTCATGTTATTACCCATCAAAACTTTCCCTTGATCCTGCAATTGTAGATCCTCAAACCAGTCCTCTCTAGGACTCATGTGAAATGAACATCCCGAGTCAAGAATCCACTGTTCTTTTGGAGACAAAACTTCAGTGTCTATTTCTGAGTCTGTCACTGCAGCAGCTTCTCCTTATCCCTTCGACTGATTCTCCAGATGTTTCTTTCGTGTCCTACAATCTCGCTTGAAATGTCCTTCTTTTCCACAGAACCAACATCCAGATCCGGATTCTGATTTTCCTCTTGACTTTGATCTTGATTTTCTCTTCCCTTGGCTCTTGCTGTTTCCCTCCCTCTTCTCAGACCTTCCTCTGACAATGAGTCCCTCAGCAGAAGATTTGTTGTTCTTTGCCGCAAATTCCAATTCCTTAGAATAGGCAGCACTTGTGATTTCATCAAGAGTGATAGTTTCTCTTCTGATGTACTTGAGTGTATCCTTCAACTGATCATACTGATCAGGAAGTGAATTTAACAAGATCAGTACCTGATCTTCTTCTGGAACCTCAATCTTTAGGTTTGACAGATCATTCACAAGTTTCTTGAAGCCATCCACATTATCCTCGGTGGTTTTTGATGAATCATCTTGAACCCTATAAGCCTTTGTTTCAAATACATCTTGTTTGGTAAAGATTTATGTAGGAATTCTTCCTCTAAAGCTCTCCAAATACTTGCTGCTGTTTGTTGATGCCGCACTTTCCGCATTATAGGATCCGTTAAACAGAGAAGAATCAGATTTCTTACTCTCCTGCTTCGCTCATACTTTGTTTCAGTAATCTGCCCAGATTCCAGTGTTTGGGAAGATACTCTACCTTCCACTTCGGGTTTGATTTCTTTCGAATCAGAACCACCTTCCACTTCAGATTTCTCAGAACTTTCTAGCATAAGATCATAATCTTTGCTCAACACATCATGTAGCCTTAAGATTTCTAGACTTGCGATTACCTTGTCTTTCCAGAGTGAGAAATCTCCCTTTCCGTCGTATTTCTCCACCTCCAATTTGCAGGCCAACATTTTCCGGCGTGTTTCTTCGATTCTGATGCAGACCTTTCTTTCCTGTACCCTATCTTCGAGATCGACGAATCTTTTCCGCCCCAGCCTTCGACAGCCGGGCTCTGATACCAGTTGCTATTTCTTGAACCTGATTCCTGTTTGTTCTTGTGCTCACGTTTCTACCAATTTGATCAGGATTGATAAAACCCAGAACCCAAAAACTCACACACTCTTGCACAGATTGTTTAACGAGTTCCCCAATCTCGATGTGAGATTGCGTACGTCTCGGTGGTTCTTTGAACCAGAATTCACTATCTCCGCTTTAGGGTTACAGATACAATCGCACAATCACAACTTTGGTGATTAAATCTTTTACAGAAAAGAATGTTAATCTTCTCTGTTCATGGTTCAGCCTTCTTATAGAGAAGAAGATGATCCCGTGCCTTGCACGTGTCTTCCGTTACTGATTAACAGCTTCAACAGTCTGAACTCAGTCAATCAATTACTCTTCTGTCCTTAATGAACCTCTGAACCATTCAGCAACTTTTCTACCTTCAGCTTCTTTCTTCAGCAGGTCGAGCCATTATTCAACACTGCGTTCTTGTCCTGAATTTAAAAAACAGATTTCGATTATGGCTTGAATGTGTTCATGTGTCGGATTTTGATGTTTACATTCGAAAGAATCCGATCATTACCCGCCATATGAGTAGACTGATTTCGTACTGGGTACCTCCATACGATGATGTTGGATTGAGGGTTCCACCAAGGACGAAAGTTCTGTCCGTCTGGACAAACGCTGAGCACAGAAGATTGTAGCAACCTGTGTGTTGGTATGCATCTCGCTGTTTTGAATTCCCAATATTTTGTTAGTGGCCAAAGAGGATTATGGTTCGTAGGAATCCATATGTCGGAAAGAAACAACCCTAGATAATAAATTAAACTCTCAAAAGTCAAAACTTACTGTCCAGTAGATAAAAAGTCTTGTGTTGTAGTCACCGTACAACTGTTGATAGACCTGTATATATACATATACAGAAGGCAAAAGAAGAAAGAATGTAAGTAGACGAACCGAGACAAGAGAGATCTTCTTCTTTTGTTCTTCTGACCGGAACTGTGTTTTCCGGGCACTCTCCGTACATGTGCCATAGCTGACGTATACCCTTCGGCTTTCCCTCGGCCTCTTCTGCAAGATCGCCTTCGGGTTCGGAACTTGGCCTCATCTAATAGTTCACAAAAAAAAACAATTATAAACATATCGGGAGAATCCGGCCAAAGGGAGAAACTGGTTTGAATCTCTTAGAAAACCTGGATGATGTGGTTCCTCAGCAAAGGATGGTCAAACGCCGGCTGGTTGGTAATAGGGATACAATCTATTATATCTCCATCTGGACTCTGTCCATATATAAACATATTGAAGATAAAATGTTAGCATCAACGGTTTCAAGTCTTAGGGTTCGACTGGTTGTACCGCAGCGTTTGCGGTTGCAGGTGGCAGCGTTTTCAGAACGTTTGATAGTGATTATAAATGATTAGTACTGACTGGTTGAGAAGTTGTTGTTGGTAGCGATTGCGGGTGGGTGTAGTTAGAAGTGAATGGTTCATTACGGTTGTGGTTGCATTTTGATATAAATTGTCAAAAAAAATATTATTTAAAAATAATTTTTTATAATAGTTTTAATTAAATTTTTCGTATCATTTGATAAAAATTATTTACTAAATTTATAATAATAATAATAATAAATTTAAAATATAAATATTATCAATTTAATTTATTTTTAAGTAAAAAAATATTTTTATTATAAAAATTATTAAAAATAATCATTATTAAACTTGAAAATTATACTATTGTATTTTTTTAATTAAAATATAATACTAAAAAATAATATCAAATCATAACACTAAACAAAATCATTATCAATATATATATTAATGTTTTATATAATTTATAATAAAAATATTTTAGTTTTTTTGTCAAAACGCCGGAAACCGCTACCAAAACGCAAGTTGAAAGCTGCGATTAGAAAACACAAGTTTGGTTGCGGTTGCGGTTGATTGCGGTTCAACCAGTCAGTTTTTCAATCGCCCGCAACCGCCGGAAATCGCAACCGCTCCGTTTGCGGGTGGCGGCGGTGCAACCAGTCGCCCCCTTATGCTAGGTTTCACATTGTGGAATACATTATTGTACGGACCTGGATAGATGTAACAGAAGGCTTATTAAGTTGCTGCAAGCGTCTAAGTATTTCAGCCTGTTGGAAATCGGAAATTTCTGTTTCTTGGGCAGAAGTTGTGATAATGGCGGGGTGCCTCCCATAACCATTAAAAGGGTCGGCTTAAGGTGAGAAGCCATTATCAAATCGAAGAACTCAACCCAAACTTCCTTTGATATTTCCTCACCAACTCTCTTGAAAAACAATTAGCAAGGTTAATGCTGACTTTATAGGCATAGAGTGCGCTTGATTATGCCCAAATCTTGATGACGTTCTTGGGGGAAACAATCGAAAGGTGGACTTTGGTATTACCATTGTGTTTTCTTTTTTATTGTCCTGTTGGCCTGGTGAAGTACATGTTGGTATTTTTAGAGTAAATGAATGGGGTTTATTAATAATCTCTCAAGAGATTCATAGTTATATGTATTACGGATATGGTGGAGGAGTTAAATGTTCGTAAATGATATAATATGGATCAGTGAAACACATGTGTTTGGCAGTAAAGTTGTTCGGTTTGTGAGTGAGGTATACCTCAACTCGGGTGAAGTAGAACTCTGTCTATATGACGAAAACGAAATTTTCTTTACAGAAATGTAACTCGGTCCGTGTTAGATTTAACTCGGACCGTGTTGATTGTCTGAGGAAAAATTCGTGTTGCACAGAAATTTGACACGGCCCGTGTCAGGTGGAACTCGATCTGAGTCAAAAGACTGTGAGAAGTACTTCATGTTGTGTCAAGTGTAACTCGGAACATGATAGTTATATACGAACCTGAATGACTTTTTAGCATACTAAACAATATCCTAAAACAAAAAATTTATAAATAAAAATTTACTTATAAAATGTTTCAAAAATAAAATAGACAAAAATTAATTTTGTATGTAAAATTTATGTTTCTCTACATAGAAAAAAATAGAAGAATACAACAATATTATTAAACCTGAATGATACATTTTAGGTATATTATAAAAACTCGTATTTCTATCTATAATATTGTAAATATTCTATACTAAATTTTATATTCTAACTTAGTAAAATATTATAGTATCATTTTTAGAAAAACAATCTTATATATTTAGAAAATGGACAAATAATTCATCCTATAGTATGTTAAAACAAATAGACAAACTTTTTTCGTATTAAATATTAATTTTAGCAAAACAAAAACCCGATTCTAACTTACAAAATAAATAAATAACCAAATTTAAAATGAAAAATAAACATAAATATCTTGATTATGTTTTAGATTTTATTTTATTTTTATATTTCGTTTTTCATTGCATATATTTATAATAGATTTGGTGTCGGTTCATTCCTAAGCACAAAATGAAGAAAATTGATATTTTACACCCAAAGTTTCATTAGTTTTTTAATGATGATTTGAAGTTAGATCATGTATGAAGTAGTTTTAAAAATTATTATTTGAGTATCTTTCAGTCATTCTAATTAAAGTTGACTATTTTTTTAACTTGTATTTATACACAACACTTATATTTAAATATTGAATGCAACTGTTAAAAATTATAATGTTTGTATATGAGAAAAATCTAAATTCTTATACAATATTTTGTTGTATTCTATAACTTAATTCATGAAATGTTAGTTTGAATAGTTTTACAATTATGACTGATGTTATTTTTAAGATATCTCTAAAAGAATTACACCATTCTTATATAATTAATAATTATTGAAAACTATCTTTATATAAAAATATTATTGAATGTAAAAACATATATATAGACATTTATTGTAACAACCCAGTTTTTCAAAAAAAACAAAAACTCGGAACGCCCGTTCTGGAAAACCCAGGACGGACCGCGCAAGAACAGACCGTCCATTCCAGACAGTCCCGGAACGGATGGACCCGACTGTCGGCAGCGACCAAAGTTGCGGTTTCCACCTGGGTCCGACCTGAAAGCGACCCAAATGCACTAATCCGACCGGAAAACCCGACCTTTTGACCCTAAACACGATTTGGTCCACGCCTAGGTCTGGATTTCTACCGAAAATTCGACCATTCGGGCTTTATTTAGCCACCTTCTTCCTCTTCATTCTTCCTCAACCTCAGAGCCGAATTCTCCCTCAAATCCGAGTAACTCACGTCCTTGCTTGCTTCTACAGACACAGAGGAGCATCGCCAAGCCCCCTTTCCATCACCCAGAACACGGGATTAACCCGAGGTGAGTGAATTCGGGAGTCGGTTGACATGGGGTTTTGGGTATTAGGTGATTTCGTGCAAAATTGATCTTTGATTCGTGTTCTACTTGTAATTCTATGAGTTTTAGTGTAATACCCATAGTGAATCATGCATGTTTGAGTGATTTTGATGAACCGCAGAAGAAAACGCGAAGTCCAGAGGTTGAAGACGAAGTCCAGACCGTCCGTTCTAGACAGTCGGAACGTCCGTTCCGTATTTCCAGACCGTCCGGTCTAGACGAGACGGAACATCCGTTCCGAACCGACTGGACCGATCGGTCTACTGACTAGACCGATCGGTCTGGAAAAAAAAAAGTAACGGAACCTTAAAAATTCACCATGTGGAAAATTGAAAAACTTGATAAGACGGACCTAATATTACCCTGGCTCAAATTATGAAAAAGTGAAAAATATAAAATATACCGGAATTACGGGCCAGACCGGACCCCACGTAGTCTGGACCCAAAATAAATACAAGGTAAGGTTAAAAACCACGGAATGAACCGAACTGGTTTTTCCGGGCGGACCGGGACCAAGTAGGTCGTACCGGAGGTACGGTAGTATGAATGGAGAGACTCAAAGAAAATAAAAAAATAAATATAAAAGACTATGCAAGCGAAAATGCATGTATAGTGAATAAACTATATAAATGCATGTGATTGGGGTAGTTGGCATGGCACTAACGTTAATTCGGAAGGGTTCGGATTAGCGTTTAGCGCGTGATTGTAGAAACGGGCATTTGTGAATGATTGCACGATGATTGCGAGATTGCGTCCCATTATTGGGCCATCCGATCCGGGTCGGATATCACCCATATGGGATATGATTGTGAATGTGGCGATGATATAATCGCGCCAACGTCCAAACGATAGGACGGTTATGGGCATCCCGATGACTTGCGTGGATAGCCGATTGTAGTCGGAACTATTGTGTGACGAGGAACATACGGTTTTTAGAACCGCGCCAACGTTTCCGTTAGCGACGGAGCGGACCCCGAGATATGAGTATCCCGAGGATGAGGGCATCACACATACCTGAGATTCGGGTAGATTGGGGTCTCCCGAGGAGATGGTACGGACTTACTCTGCCAGGTTCGGGCCCGAACCTGACAAGTAC